CTCTTATTCCCTTCTTTCTTCTTTCTTTTCTTCCCTTCTTCCTTTTCTTCTACTTCTCTTCCCCCTCCTCCCTTCTTTCTTTTTTCTCCTCCCTTCCTTCTCCTCCATCTCCATCATCGGACATTGGTCATCATGTTGGCAATCCTATTTTTGTCAGCAGCCACATGAAAAAGTGCTGCTGAGTTTTGTCCAAACCAGTCAATCCCTTAGGTTTTGAAGCCATGATGTTCTTCTGCCTGGACCTTGTTTGCCTTCAATCTTTCCCTGGAGGATTAAGTGAAGGATGTCTTTTGCTAAGTGGGTTCCCCTCCACCCCTTTCCCCTTTTGGTTCCACCACTTTTAATGATTCCCCCAGGAAGCGATTCTTGGGCTATTATTCTGGTTCCTTTTACAGGTGGCTCTCGACTTATGACCACAGTGGAGCAGAGTTTAGGTTGCTAAGTGAGACATTGGTTAAGAGAGTTTTTCCCCGTTTTACGGTTTTTCTTTATATGTTAGAGTTTAGGTAGACACGTGTGTGTATGCATGTAGCTTGTCTATGTGTGTATGTGTCCACTTTTGAGAGCAGGCGACAGGATTTCCCTTTCAATGGGTGCCAGAGTGCCCACGGGTGTGTGTGTGTGTGTGACAATAATGGTTATCTTATCTTGTCAGGTTTGTTAAGTGGATCATTGCAGTCGTTAAGCTAGTAACACGGCTGTTAAGTAAATCCAGCTTCCCCATTGACTTTGCTTGCTACAAGATTGCAGAAGGGGATTGCATGATCCTGGAACATTGCAACCGTCATAAATCTGAGACAGTTGCCAAGCATCTGAATGTAAATGACTTGACCCTGGGGATGCTGCAATGCTTGTAGGTGTGAAAAATGGTCATAAGTCACTTTGTTGGGTGCCGTTGTAATTTTGAACGGTCACTAAGCAAACTTGTAAATCGAGGACTAGCTGTACGTTAGAGGGGTTAAAATGACTCAACTGGTACTTTGGTCTTCGGGCTCCAAATAAAAACCTACCCAAAGCCACAATGGAATGAGAGATGCCTTTTATCTTTTCCCTAGTTGTTACGTTAGGTCAGTACCAGGTAGTCCTCAATGTATGACCACAGTTGAGCCCAAAGTTTATGTTGGTGAGACATTGGTTAAAGGAGTTTCCTCCCATTTTATGACTTTTCTTTATATGTTAGGGTGTAGGTAGACACATGTGTATGTATGTATCGTATCTACATGTGTGTTATGTGTGTGTACACTTTTGAGAGCAGGCGACAGAATTTCATTTCCAAGGGGTGCCAGAGGGCCCACAGGAAAGAAAATGACAATAAAGGTGATCTTGTTTTATCTTGCCACGTTTATTAAGTGAATCACTGGAGTTGTTAAGCTAGTAATACGGTTGCTAAGTGGCTTCCCCCATTGACTTCACTTGTCAGAAGGTCGTAAAAGCGGATTGCCTGACCCCGGGACACTTCAACCGTCATAAGTCAGTTGTTAAGCATATGAATTACATGACCATGGGGATGCTGCAATGATCGTAAGTGTGAAAAATGGACATGTCACTTTTTTCAATGCCGTTGTAACTTTGAATGGTCACTAAGCAAACACTTGTAAGTTGAGGACTACCTGTATCTGGTGTTTTGTAAGATCTGGTAAAACCGAGATTACATCGCGGGTGTGTGATTGAGTCATTTTTGAAACACAGGTCTCTCGTGAGAGCAGAGAAAATATATAGTAGTTTGCATAGTCTTTCTTCTGGTATTGATTAACATAGATAGTATTTTTCAACTGCCATCACTCTGCTGAACACTTAGTTCTCCCAGCACGGTCTCATTTTTCAACCTCTCATTTTTCCTACCATCTTCTATTGCTTTCTATGATTTATAAATCATTTGTAATATGATTAATTATTTATGACCTATTACTTACTGTTTATATGTACACTTTGAGCTTATGCACTGGAGACACATTCCTTGTGTGTGATCGCATTTGGCCAACAAAGAATTCTATTCTATTAATGGGAAGTAAAGCATATTTGATTATATGTATTTTTTTACAGTACTGTAGAAGATGAGGAATAGAGACGAAAAAAATGTGGTGCAAGATTGCATTGTAAATCCACGTTTGAAGGTCTTAAAAAGTATAGTTTAAAAGTCTTGTCTTGCCCAAACTTTAATGGGCAAATGAGAGGATAGCTCTGAAAAGTATTATTGGGAATAAAAAAACTTTAACTTCTTACATTGTGTTTCAAGTTTTTTTCCTCAAACTTCATGTTTGCTCGTTTTTCTCCATCTCTTCTTTTGAATTACTGAAATCAAACATAAAATTTGTAATTAGAATTTGCTGAATCTTCATCTGTTCCTGTCCTCCACTTTTCCTCTTCTTTGGTTTTAGAGCAGGTAAATCAGATTAGATCAAAATATTGAATATTGTATTTGCTCCATATTCAATTGGCAATTTATTCAAGTACATTATGATGCACAAATGCTAGAGAATTGTTAGTTTGCAAAGGGCTTACATTTTTCATATTTCCTGTAGGAGACTCTGTTTTGAAGTACAGATAGTCGTTGACTTAAAACCAGTCACTTAACAACCATTCAAAGTTATAACACAGCCACTACTGCCCCCCAAAGCTACTTACAACCTAAATTCAAACTTCCAATGCTCTCCCTCCTACAGTAATGCGACCATATTCGGAGAACTCAGCAACCAGTCCACATTTATGACCGTGTGCCCTGCGATCATGTGATTTATGATGCTTTTTGCTGGAAACTGATATTTATTTCTAGTTTTGGCAAAAAAAAGGCTATTACAGACAGTGGGTTTGCTTAACAATGGCTGCATTGGCTTAAAAATTGCCACAAAAAATGTAAAATCATGTCAGTCACATACATAGGTGTCTTGACCGATAACCGTAATGACATATGATGAAAATTCCAGGCTCCATTACCATCATAAGTCACATGCTAACTGTACTCTTCAGTAGTATATTAAATTGTGCCTTCAGTCACACAACCTGAAGGCAAAGGATCCTTTGTTATGTGCTATATTAAAATCATGGGAAAAATGTGTTTGGTTTAAGGAATTGCAGATAAGTATATACAATTTTGGTATTGTATACAAAACATTATTTCATGTAGCTAGTGATGACTCATGTAGTAGATTACAGGATCTAACTTACCTGGGCTGATACTGAAAAAGCTCAGTAGGGTCAAACTGGGCTAGTACTTGGATAGAGACCATTATGAATTTCAGAATTGCAGATAATGTGAAAGAAGGCAATGCAGAAGTAAATGTCTTCTGTATTGCTGAATCTGTCCATGTTGAATTTGTCTTGAAGGAAACTAAACTTAAACAAAATGATTTGAGTCACTTTGTTTAAGATTCAGAGTATATATTACATATACCCATATACACTTGCATTCAAATTGTACACTGTGCAAAGCCTTAAGAGTGACTGTAGGATTTGTCTGATTGTTTACTTTAGACCAAGGGAATATTAGATTATACACTACTACTATGCTTGTTGAATTCCTTTTTGGGGTTTTGGTATGTTGTATATCTTATTTGCCTGGACATATTTGTAAAAATAATAAAAGCAGGATATAAAGAAAAGAAAACAAACAAACAAACAAGAAACCACAATGTCTGGGTCAGTAAGGAAATTCAGCTAATTATGACTAAGGCAACATATAATGCAACAACATAATGATGACTTGTCAGGTAGAAGAATGTTTGGAATATATAACAACAGCAATATTGTAGCTAAATGTAAAAACTTAATGCTTCTTTTAATCACAGCCTTGACCTACTCATGTAATAACAAGTTTGACCTTTTTTCTAAGGCATGAAGAAGCCACTTTAATATATAGTTTGTAAATAGGACATGCTTGGTTATTTCAGCATGATTGCCCTCATTATATGGAATATAATGTATAACTTGCTCTGTTTTTTTTCTTACGAACCTGGGCTCATTTCTTGTAGCTTTATTAGTATTGTTTCTCATGATCCTTAGCTGGAGCATTTTCAGGATACTAATCAGTGTAAGAAATAGTGCAAAATTATAGATTTAATTTTTGATTGTTTGAAATTATTCTGGAAAATGACTAATTTAAATTATTGGCTTAAATCATATTTCCAGTACTTGACAGCTATTACAAATAAAGTACAATATCTTGCAACTGAATATGCTCTTAATATCTAGGAGCAGAGTAAAATATTGTAAGCGGCCCATTTACAGTACCTGTTGTATTGTGTAAAATATTTGTGGAAGTGAGTTTGAGGGATTACCTTAAAATGATTTTCTGTTTTGCTGGGTATATATACAGTGACTAGTAACATATATCCTTATCTAGATCATTTATTAAGTCTGGAAAATACATGATTTATATGCAATATGATATTTTGTGTGAGAGTTCAGATCTTAGGGAATGATCACACTGAAAACAATATAATATAATATATTCGAAAACTAAGTTATCTGCTGCTAACTTCAAACTGGAAGGCAGTGGGCAAAGAGAATGTGACTGATATAATTTCAGTTTTTCAAAATGTACAAGGAGGCTAATGGTGAAAATGGGGAAATCATTTTTTTAATGAAGAAGAAAGAATATCTAGGAGTAATAAAATAGTTTGCCGGAATGCTCGCTGGAATAAAAAAAATTTTTTTTAATGGAGTCACAAAAGTATGTGAAGGAAGTTCAAGGTTAAAACTATATTGCTTGGATGCAACTGGCCAAGAAGCCTCCCCTGCATCCCAGCAGCTTTTTTCTATTGATTTCAAAGTCATGCAAAGACAGGTCTTCCAAGTGAATAGAATATTTTTTTATTACGGCCACTGACTAGAATTAAAAGAGCCGAGGTGGCGCAGTGGTTAAATGCAGCACTGCAGGCTACTTCAGCTGACTGCAGTTCTGCAGTTCGGCTGTTCAAATCTCACCGNACACACACACACACACACACATATATATAGTTTACATGACTTTGATATATTGAAATAAAAGTTAACTGACTTACCAAACCCAAATGACATTGATTCTTCCCTCTGCCTAAGTCCCACAGCATCAGGTGCTTGCCCAGTATGCAAGGTACCACTAAAGATATTTTGGTTGGATGTAAAGTTGCAATGCTGACTTGTTCCTGTCATTCCAGAACCTACTCCTATTCCAGAAGATACTGAGCTTTGAATGTGACCAACAGGAATCGTAGAATAAATTAGACCCGCTGGAACACTAAGAACTGGTGGACAGTACCGAGGCAAAACAACATTTCCGTGAGATGGCAAGCTTCCCAAATATTGCTGGGCAAATGGAGTTGATTTAAGAGAACATCCTGTTAATAGTGCTGGAAGTCCAGAAGACATTGACGAAAGCTTTGAAGCTGCATTCTGGGATTTGAAAAGCTCTCTATTTTGATTTAATGAAATACAGTTGCCTAAATCATTATAAGCAGACAGTTTTTTTGGAGACTGTAAGCCTGGTCCATGAACAGCATTTGTGTAGTACTGCTGTACTGCAGGCATATCACCCTGATCCAGTTCATTGTTTTTTCTACAGTTCTGTGTAGTTTGATCTTTGCTTCTTGTTGGAAGTTCTCCAGTTGATTTTTTCTTATCACATTGATTGTTATGATCTACATTTTCATTTATAACTAGTCTCTTAGTTCTTGCATTTTCATTCAATGATAGAGATTTGTTACTTTGCAAAGCAATGTTTTTTCCTGTTTGAGTCTCCATTAATGAACCTGGACTATTCCAAACTATTGTGGTACTCAACTCACTGGTACGATTACTCTAAACAGAAAACATTAAAATTCTGATTAGGATTTACAGCATTTAGGTGAAGTACATATTTATTATATACAATGAAATATTTTATTGAGGACACATAAGTTCAAATGATCAATAAATCTGTTTTTAAAAATAGCTAATAACAATATTTTTATATAGGTAGCCCTCAACCACAGTTGGGACTGGAATCTCAGACACTGAGTGAAGCGAAAGAACTAGGTGTTTATTTCACTCAATGACAATCCCAGTATTTTTGGTTGCAATCGTTAGATGATCTCCTGGGTAGTTAAGCAAACAGAGCAACAGGCAGGTAGGTAGACCTTTGAGAGTTGAGGACTCTGCAGAGGTGAGGAGAGATTTTGAGTTCTGTGCCTTCTTAAATTTTAGTAGGTGAGGTCCAAGCATACACAGAGCTTGTGGTCCTTCTCTCCCTGCTCTGTGGAAAGCTCATGGAGGAAAACAAGATTTTGAGCTCCATGCCCACTTGGATATTGGCTGTTGAGATCTAAGCAGGCATGGAACCAAGGGAACTCTTTCAGAAAAACCCCCAGCAGCAAAAAAAAAAAAAGAATCCTCTCAGCAGGTTGCAACCTTCCCTGTCAGCTTCCCTCCTCAGACTTTCTCAGGAAGCCGGCAAAGAAGATCACATATTGGCATGTGATTGTGGGATGCTTTGCAGCTAGTCATCAGCGCGAATAGGTTGTTAAGAACCCAGATCACAATCTTGTGATGAAGTGTATATATGATATATTTGGTGTATATGATAAATTTAATAAATGATTTAAATGATTTAATTATTATTTTGATTTCATAAATGCTATACATACTGCAAAATATACCCTTCCTGAGGCCAACATTAACATAAACAGTAGTTGTAACTGGTCATTAAGCAAGGACTACCTGTACTAATTTTTGATATACATTTACTGACATAAAAAAATTCTTTGACAAATATAACATGATCTTTTTGAACTCCAGTATGCAAGTGGACCCACCTGCATTCGCTAGAATCCATTTCCACCAGTCTGCTTGTGAACCACCAGAATAAAGGCTTATTGTGACTTGGACTTGTACCTTCCTGCCAGCTTCACCACTGGCTTTGTTTGTTGGAAACAGGCAGGAAGTTGCACATCCTGATAATCTAAGGTCCTTGCTTAAAGATGACAAATGGGACGAGTAGGATTATCATTAAGTAATGCAGACATCACATAATGTTGCCTTTACAGTCCCAATTACCATTGTTAAGCAAGGACTATCTGTAGATATTGTGAAAGAAAATAGATATCAAATTTTAGGTGCAATATCTTTAATTGATACCAGTACTAATTTCACTACATTGTAAATTTGAGATTTACAATGAGGAAGTCCATTTATAGTTAAAACAGAAATAATTAACCTTCATGGCAGAAATCAGAGCTTGAAAAATGCTACATAAAACTCAGTGTTCCTTGTGTAACATTTTATTCTATTGCAATTCCATTAAGTGGAATAAATAAACATTAGATTTAACAAAGTACTTACTTTGTATCTTGTTGGACTAGATAGAGCTGGACTTTTACAAGTGTTTTCAGTGGCAGAAACAAAAGTCAAATGTTCTAAGGTAGGATCAGAGTATACTGATTGTCGTAATGTATTGTCATTGCAAATTGATTCCTTAAAGTTGGGTGGCGTAGAAGGAAAGACAGACCTAAGAAACAAAGTAGAGGGAAATTGCAAAGTCTAATGTCAATTTAAATATCTTCAATAACTTTCTGAAAAGTTTCTTTTTAAAGAAGAATTCTTAACAAAGGAAACAAAGATAAAAATTGGTATCCCCTAAAAAACAAAAATAACATTTTCTGATAGGTTAATGAATAAATTCAATTTTAGTGGTTGAATGCAATACCTCAAATCCTTTGTATCCCTAATTTTTTAAAAAGAAGAGAACCATCTTTGCCTGAGACACCAAATTGGTGATACAGAACATGGAAGCAATACTATAGAATAAAGCATAATAATAACCTGTCTCTCATACATAAGCATAGCATATCTCTTAGATACATAGAACTCTTACCCTGTAAAAGTGGTTCCTGAAGATTCACTTGGTGATGAATGAGTCAGTGGGGAAGTTGAAGGTCTGAAGCTATACTGTTCATCTGAAATTTGTACACCAGGTGTTGATGTCATAAGCTTTGGTTCAGTTCTTCCAACAGTTTCACCTGAATTTGGCAGAACAAATGTAGTCAAATATAAGCTTGAATAAATGGGGCAGCTTATAAACTGAATAAATAAAATAGACAGATTGCTTTCCACTATCTGTCTACCAAACAGTTATAATACTGTACTCAAATCATAGTAATAGAAATATGTAAGGTATGTGAACTTATATGAAAAGAAATTCCCAAAGGGAAATACTATGCATCTAATTCAAAGAGAGGCTCACAGAAGATATAAGATCCAGAAGGCCAGCTGATACAGAGATATTACAGGTATTATTTGATAAAACATTTACTTCTGGTACCTATCTTACTAATATATACAGGTGAAACTCAAAAAATTAGAATATCATGCAAAAGTTCATTTATTTCAGTAATGCAACTTAAAAGGTGAAACTAATATATGAGATAGACTCATTACATGCAAAGCAAGATAATATTGTGAAATGGTGCAATATTCTAGGCTCAAAGTGTCCCACTCTAATAAGCTAATTAAGCCATAACACCTGCAAAGGGTTCCCGAGCCTTTAAATGGTTCAGTAGGAATCACAATCATGGGAAAGACTGCTGACCTGACAGTTGTGCAGAAAACCATCATTGACACCCTCCATAAGGAGGGAAAGCCTCAAAAAGTCATTGCAGGTGTTAT